CGGCCCGCGCCCGTTGCCCGCGCCCGTTGCCCGCGCGGCCGGCCCGGCCCTGTCCGGCAGCGGGACGTGGCTCCCCCGCGCGCTCCCGGGCCGCGGGCTCGTGCGCGAGCGTTGATTGGGGCACAAATGGTGGCAGTCCCGGCTTAAGCTGCCCTTCCTTCCCGCGGCCGACACGTCACAACGAGCAGAGGCTGGGAAAGAGGCTGATTTGGGTTTTCTTTTCCTGATTTCTTTTTTTTTTTTTTTTAAGCTGTGTGTTTGGGCTTTCGCGTGTGTTTGTTGTTATTTAAGGTGTCACCTGCATGTCTTAGTGAGTGGAGAGTATGAGATCCCCAACCTTGAGATCCCAACCAGCAGCTGCTAGGGGCAGGTTTGCCCAAGGAGGCAGCAGCCGAGCTGCAAATTCCACCTGAATATGTGGAAAGGTAATGAATACATCCCTGGAGAAAACCCAGGGAGATAAGCCCACCTGAACTGCCTCTTGAGGGTAGTTTTAGATGGAGATTGTTGTGTTTTGGGGCCAGAGGAAGAGCATTTCATGGCAGTTGAAAGAGCAGATATTCAGAATGGGAAGCGGGATAACATCTGTGGATTGAGGCCTCACGCAGAATGAGTTGTGCTCTGTTGTGTTGTGTTTTCCCCTGGAAGATGACCTGTTGAGTGACACAAGCCGGGAACCAGCCTGGTGCTGGGGAAGCCACTGTTCTGTGCCAAGAGCAGCCCCAGACTGTGGGAGAACAGCAGGACCCTCGGCGGGGAAGGCACGGCGGACACCTCCTAGCTGCCAAGCAGGATTCGGCTCGTGTGGGCTGCGACACTAATGAGCTCTAGCAGGAAGGAAGGGTCAGTGATAAACTGAGTGGCTTGAAGGTGTTGGGCTTTGAGTGTTCAGCTGCTTAGGACAGCAGCACTGTATTTGACGTAGGTTGTCGTGGCCTGCTGTTGATTCTCAAACTCTGAATTTATACGTTTCAGATGTGTAAAAAATGGCTCCGTCTCTAGTGCCAGAGCATGTTGCAGGAAGAAACATGCCAGATGTGGCCTAGTTTAAAGTATGTTTTAAGAACTTATGCATTTTTAACAGTAGCTCCTAATTTCAACAAGTTGTGTGTAGATGATAGTGTAATCTAGAAGTTCATGTCAGAAAATGCTGGATACTCATAAAATGCTGGATACTCCCTTTTAGCTTGTAACGTATGGTTCCCATATACCCTCTCTGCATTAAACCGTAAAGATAATTAAGAGATTTCCCACTTACCATTTTTTTCTCCCAGATACACATACTAAATTTCATTAATCTTTCTTCAAAGATCATGCAAGGTTTTGTGGTTTATTTTTTGTCACTTCTGTGTTCCTGCAGTTTGTCAGTGTTGGAGTTTCTTTATGTTGGAATGAGAGGATACCCTGTGCAGTCCTACCAGGCATGAGATGAGCAAAACTGGTACAAAGAGGAATTGCTACCTGGCCGGCCTTAAAAATCAAATGCAGTATATACATGACATGTATATGCAGCATCTGCTTGATATAGTATGATTTCTTGTCTAACAAGTGTATTGCAAGGAACTGTTACACAGATGAAATGTGTGATCTTTCATTTTTTCCTATATCTAATCTCTGTTAGTTGTTATGTGTTATACACTTCCTTCATTTTGCTGTCTTTCAACTCCCCACCCCAAATAGTTTTCTATACATTTCCCTCTATTTCTGAGTGGTCAGTAACTACATGTTACACTTGTGTCCAGGTTTTGCCTTTCTGAGATTCAAGCAGTTGTGGAAGCTGGGAGCTGAATCTGTGAAAGTAATCAAATTGCATAGGTGTAGGAATCGTTACCAGGATGGGTTGCTTGGAAGCTGGAAAATAAGTTGATATAAATAAACTCTCTGCAAAAGGGACAAAACAGCCCAAAGAGGTTTAGGTAACAAAACCAAACAATGCGGAAAACAACAACAGCGACAACAAAAAGTCTCCTGATTGCGGTGGAAACCAGATGAAGACTTGATGATCAAGCGATGACTTATTGATCTTGAATGCTCTAATATTATCAGTTCTTTTCCCACGAAATCTTTAGGGAAGGGATAAGGCATTTTCCTTTATCAAGATCTGCTGCATTTGAAGGAAAGAAATGGTGAGCTTCAGTCTTGGCAGACCTGATGGTGGCGGTGCCTTATGGAAAACGCCTTTTCCTTGGAGCAAGGGAATGGCCGATAGAGCTGCAGTAATTGCCAATTAAGCAATGATCTGAATAGGAGAGATTACAAGTACCAATGGAACAGGTGGATAATGAAACAAAGTTGCAGCCTTTATTTGGGAAAGGCTTATTCAAAATCTAGGCCTGTCTGTTTGCTGGATTCCTGTTTTCTTGTGGTGGTCAAGGTTGCATTTCCAGGGCAATGAGCTAGTCTGAGTTTGGACTCCTGTGTTTTACTCCCCCTTGGAGCCAGCCCTGGCTGTCACCTCGTCTGATACTGAGGTGATTCAAAGAGCTGGATAAGCTGTTGCTTTGGGATAACTGCACCTGTACAAAGGAGTGATTAATGCACAACAGCACAAGTGAAGAAGACGCTTTCAGGAATTAGCTACATAGGACCAAATGTTTCTTAGAAGCACCCCAGCAGTTTGGAAAGAAAAGAAAACACTTTTTTTCCCCCCATAAACTTTGCATAGACTTGAGCTGCTCTGCTGCTGAGCTGCTTGTGCTGATGCTTTCCACAGACCCAAGTTTGTGTTGTTGTATTTCTTGCAGCTTTTAATTGGAGATTGGCTCAGTTTGTGTTTTTTCCTGAACAGATCTCTCTCTGTTGTCCAGTTATACTGATTTATTTCTTTATTTTTAGTGTAGCTTCTTACCATCTTTCAACTTTTTAAGCACATTTTCATACCCGTTCAAACTCCACACAATTCTTAAGAATCTTTGAAGTGTCAAACAGCAGAGTTCTGACCCGTATTGAAGTTCTACTTTTTTTCTCCTACTTTTACTTAGATTTCTTTCTTAACACTTGAGCCCAACTATTAAATAGTGTTGTTTTTAACCCTTTGAAAATAGCTTTCCTCTATTTGTATAATGTAGTCTAATGTGCTTTTATGGGAGCTGCACTCAGCCCTTCTCTTTCTTCCTTCATATTAACTTTTAGCCCTGTTTGCCAATGTTACTTGCATTTGACAAAGTGACATCACTCCTATGGATATTAAATTCTTGCTGGTTTCAGGAGAATCATGGGCTTGGTGGGTGAGAAGGACCCGAATCATTAGCAGCGAAGCTGCAGCGTGGCTGCACGTCAGCTGTTCTGCAAGCCCTGATGGTGGCTGAGCCATCCGCACGCTCGGGCTGGCTTGGCACGTGGTTCACGTACAGCTCTCAGACACAAGATAATGTGTTTTTAATCTTTACTTACATCTTAAAGCACCTCCTGAAGCGAGATAAAATTTTCCTGTCCTCTGGAAGGAGGAAGAGCTGGGGTTTTTGTTTTCTAAAGGTAGTTCAGCAGGATGTCTGGCAGAAGTGGGACATGGTTTGGTTTGGGCACCCGGTGGAGTTTGCAGCAGCAGCAGCAGGGACGTAACCATGTGTGTGTCGCTGAGTGTTGGGGTCATCTGTGTTGCTGACAGCTGGGTCAAAGTGTGAATGAAGGACGAGAACTAAACAAGGAGCTGCTAATAGGAGAGGGAAGAAGGAAAAGAAATGAGCGGTCGGTCGGTAGACTTCCCTGCTCCAGCAAACGAGAGGGCCTCGTAGTGCGGGCTCTCCCTTATCTGTTGCTGCACCTGCCTGTTGTGCACAGCGTTTCAGTGCCAGAAAGTGGCTTGGATGTGGGCTTATCTTTTCTGAGAGACTGGGAGAGAAACATGTTACCCAAGAACCACACTGGCATGAAGTTGAAACATGCAAAAGCCACTTTGCTCTTTCTCCATTGGTTTAATTTTGAAGCTTGCCTCCCAAGCTGAAGAAGGCCTCCCAAGCCTGGTCTCGCTGGTGGCTGTTGGAAGAGGCAGCTCTGCAGGTGTCCCAGGCAATGAGAGGCTCCGTGTTAATTGTTGTTTCACGTGTGTTTTGCAGGGGAAGTGGCTGCTGTTGGTTCAGTGATGAGCACAGCGTGTGCTCTGCCATTAGCTGATCAGTGACCCCAGTAAAGGTGGCTGAGGAAACATATACTAATTTTAGGACTAATTTTAGGATATGCTTAGTCATCTCTGCTGCAGCCCCTTGCTGGTTGCAGGCACTGCTCACTCTTCTTTCCTAGCAGAGCCAGTGGAGAAGCTAAGTGCAATATCATCAGACAAAAAAGTTGATGTCTGAGGATACAAATTCTGCCAGGCTGTGTTAGTGCCAGTGTTGTGTGTCTTGCTAAAAATCTGAGAATACATTCCAAGTTTCTTTACACGTTGGTAAATCTAACAGTTTACATCATGCAGGTATAGAGTGGCTGCTAAATATGGGACAGCCCCGTGTAAGCAGATCTTATTAGTCATGAATATGATATGGCCCTTCTGTGTCCTGAAAACAACATTCAGTTATAAATGTCTTCACCATTGTTAATTGAAAACCTTAGTAAACAGACTTATTTTCAATTTGGCTTTTTCTAATTATATTTAATTATATCTGTTTGTTTATTTGTTTTGCTATGTGATTTGGCCTAGGCAACGTGAAGCATGTTTATCTCTAAGCATATTTTTGTAGTGGTTTTTTTTTCAGATGATCTTGTGTGCAGATCAAGATCATTTCATATTTAAATGAATCTACATATAAACAAACATATTTTCTCTTACCAGATGTAAAATGCTTTCTCTGGAGACTTTAGCTTCTGATAGTTGGATTCTGAAGATTTACTTTTTTGCTTGTCTTACTGGAAGATGGCTAAATGGTGCTGAATCCTTCAGGAGTGAGTGAACACTGCCATGGACAACTTCAAAGGGTAAAGAAAAGTTTCTTTGTCAGCCTGTTTTGGTCTAGAATTCTTAAATGAAAAGGAGCAGGTTGAGTGGCTGAGTTTTTTGGGTTCAAATTAGCTCCAAAACTTACTCTTTTTTTTTTCGCTTAAGATCATTCACAAGTTATGAGTACAGTTTGGAGGGAAAAAAAACCCAGAATTATTTGGATTAGCACTTCAACTCTAACCATTGTCTAACCCTTTGAAAGGTGCCTTTATTCTCAGCTTATAGAATATGGATATCCTATGCACAGGATGGATGTACTCGAGTGAGCTTTAAATGAGCTAAGTTGGGTGCTGGAAGCTGTTTTGCTACAGAATATGTGCAATGAGCCTGTGCCTGTTGTGCAGACTTGTGCTCAGCTCTCTGCTTGGGCAGCCTGGCAGCTGCCCAAGCAGTTTGTTTAGAGCAGTTTTAGTTTAGGTATTTCAAAGCTAAACTGCACAGAGGTTTAGCTATACCTTCAGGTACCCCTCTGAAGTTCTCCATTGCAAGGGCTAGATTTCAGTTCAGACTTGATTTCATTTTCATGAGTCAGTGCAGGATATCTTTTTTATTTCCCTCAATAAACTCCTGCAAGTAATAAACAACTGTTAGTATTATTGGTGCTATAGAGTTAGTTTTGGATAGTAATTTTTTTTCAGACTTCTCTTGGTTTTTTTAGCAAAACAAATGGAAAGCCCCATTTTGTAGCCCCCAGCTAAGTAACTGTCTTGAAATGCAAGATTTTATTAATGTTTTGGTATCGGTACCTTGTTTAAAATGATATTAAAAAGAGTAACTTTTATTTATTTTCTAAGGATGTTTTATCTCCTCACTCTGTTTATTCATTCTGTTTTTTCAGCTCTTTCTTGAAGCACCACAAGCAGTTAATGCACCTTCTAAAGGACTCCTGACCTTTTGCAGCTCCGTAACTCATATCTAGATGTCACCCGTGTTTCCCATGTTAACAGTTCTGAGCATGTTTTACTACATGTGCCTTCGGCGCCGAGCTAGGACAGCCACAAGGGGAGAAATGAACAGCCGGAGAGCCCTCGAATCCAATACCAGAGCCTTACCTATCAACGTGGAAATCGTGCAGTACGCCAAAGAAGTGCTGGATTTCAGCTCTCATTATGGAAGCGAAAACAGCATGTCCTACACCATGTGGAATTTAGCAGGTATTCCCAACGTGTACCCCAGCTCCGGGGACTTCACGCAGACCGCCGTGTTCCGAACGTACGGCACGTGGTGGGAGCACTGCCCCAGCGCTCGCTCGCCCTTCCAGAGGACGCCGCCCGCCTTCTGCAGCCAGGACTACGTGGAGCTGGCCTTTGAGGAGCCCGTGTACCCCACAGCGGTGCATATTCTGGAGACCTACCACCCCGGGGCTGTAGTCAGGATTTTGGCATGCTCTGCAAATCCGTACTCACAAAATCCGCCAGCTGAAGTAAGGTAATTTTCCTTCTACGTTTTCCTCTAGTATATTAAATAGCTCAAATAATCCTGCTTAGCAAATAGGACTTTTTAGTGTTTCTGGATTTTGTAACCTGACCCGCTGACACTTTCTTTTTCTGCCTGCGTTCAAAACAGTGGTGGCATATGTTTTAACAGCATTATTATATGAATTAATGTAGACCCTAATATCAGGTTTCATTTTTGTAATGATAGGTCTTCTGTTGGAACTTTGATGAGCAATAATTATTTTTGCACAAAAATCAACCGTGAAATTACAGCTCTACTGAATTCTTCTCCAATAAGCAAAGTAAATTGTATAGAGGAGCCTGAGGTTTTGTGGCTGCTGTGCTGAAATGCTTTCAGTAGCCTTAACCTCTTTTCCCTGTATGCTTTAGGAGGCTGTGTGTATAGTAGAATCAGGTGCTGTATATACTTTTATGGAAATCAGGCCAAAACCAGGAAGACAGTCAGACAAAAAGTGATACCATTTGTCTGAGTCAAAGTGTACAAACAGCACATGATTTTACATTTCTTTGATAGAACTGAATCTGCATATTTTTCTATCCTATTCAGTATCCTAAGAACATCTTATAGAACTTGTGGGAGGACAACAAAAAGAAGGACCTGGTGAATGAGAAGACAATTAAAAAAGAAAAAAAAACCACTGTGGATGAAGTGTAAAGGTTTCAGTGGGGAGGTATGGAATTAGAAATAAAAAGGGAAGGAAAACAGGTAAAAGTACAGATTGGGGTGGAAAATTTGGAAAAAACTATGTAGTGATCAGCATATGTCAAAGAGAAGAAATTATATAAAACTCACAAAGCAAAGGAGGGCTATTAGAAAAAAATAGTTATATATATACTTTTTTTTGTTGTTTTTAGAATATCCTAAGGAAAGTAGAAGGTCAGCAAAAACTGTCACCTTTAAAGTACATGCTGTGGAGGAAGGGCAGTGCAAGCAGATGTTGGCTGAGGTGCTGGATTTTTTCTTCCCGATCTGCCTTTTTCAGATACTCCTGAAAAACATATTTTTAGGACTAACTTTAATTTTACCTATTTGATTCTATGGCATGAATTGACGTAGAGATTGTTTTGGTAATTCTGCCTATAATGCTGCAGTACGGAACAGTAAGATAGTGAGTGCACTGCTGTGCAGTTCAAGGATATAATTCTGAGTAATCAGATAATGCTGTTACATTAAAATGTTTTAAAGGGTTTAGTTGTTGGTTCATACAAAAAAAAAGAGTAAAGATGAAACAGATTAAGAAAAAAAATTAACCGAAGTGGTTAAGGTGTAGTTTAAAAATACTCAAAAGCATAAGAAGATAAAAGAAGAAACTATTGATGCACCATTACAGCATATGCAACACGAATACAACTTTTTTTATAGTTTCCCTTGGAGTGTGATGAGAGTGAGAGCCCAGACTCTTGCTGTAGAAGAGGGGCAGAAGCTCCTTTAGGACTCTGCCTTGCTCTTTGTAGGCAGAGGTCTGTTCTCCCATTGTAGACAGTGTTTCTGGTGAGAGGGAGGTTGGTTGTGTTGGCAGCCCTCAGAACCAGGTGTTTCTGTTGGGTCTTCACTACTTGCTGGTCATGGTGAAAGCCCTGGAGTTGTTCGTGTTTGAGCTTCTCTTGCTTTCAATTCCAAAAGTCCTCTGAGATGACAACTAAGAATTACTTTTCTAGGCATAGGGAAATAGTATTGCTAACCTCAGGGGAATCTGTGTTTAATTAGTGTTTTGAACTGTAACAGCCGTGTCATTTTCTTTTGTTGAAAAAGGCCAGGTCCCAGTTACTCCAAGGAAGGACGCCCATAGTCTTGTTTTCCTCTCTTGACTATTTTGAGACTCTTAAATCAGTGGATACCTAAATATCTGAAAGGGCTACTTTATTTTTTCTTCTAACTCTTGATTTATTCTTTCCCAGCTGCACTGTAGAAAGGACAGGTCTTCACAAGGGTTTTTTTCTCACTCACCTTGTTAGCAGCTCTTTCTTTTTATATGAAAAGAAGGTCAAATTGATCTTTCCTACTTATTTTAGGAATATCAATGTCTTGTGAGGAGTCTGTGGACTGCTTAAATCTGTTGCAAGAGGAAAAAGTCCACTGAGACTTGTTTAAATGTCATGCTTAGCAGGTTGCAGTAGTCCAGCTGCATAATTTCTTTCTGTTTTCTCAGTATTTAGAACTTCAGCTTATCCCTGGCTTTGCTCTGTGCAAAAGTTGGAGATCTGCAGGAGGCCTCTGCGTGCCACAGTCCTTGTTCAAGAGGGATTCACGTAGGAAAATGGATCTCGCCAGTATGGATCTCCCCATGTCCATTGGATCCTGCTATTAGTGCAATTTTGGGCACCTTCTCAGAGCAGTTTTATTCGGGAGCCTTTTAGAGGTGGGACCTGTCCTTTGTGGAGTAAAAGTGGTAGTGGGGAAAAGCATTCATTTATTTTTCAGATCAGGATGTAATTGTGCATAACTAATCCTAATGCTTGAAACATGAGAGGGAATTTCAAGTCTCCTCGTTCTGGCTTAACCACAACTTCAGCAGCTTGAGGATTCTCCATCCTCTCATATTTTCTGCTCTTCTGAACACAGAAAATGGTCATTGCTGTCCTCTGCTCAAAGCAGTGTTTGAAAACCATAAATGTCCAAGGAGCTTCTCTCTTTACTTCTGGAGACCTTTTTTGCTCTTGCTTAGTGCCCCACAGGTCTTGTCTGGTAAGAAATATTTTGGTAGTTTTTAAAAGAATATTAATGTATTTTATACATATTTTAATGTATACTGTATTTAGTATACATATTTAGTATACATATTTTAATATATAGTAGTGGCCAGTGACAGGAGAAGGGGCAATGGACACGTTGAAACACAGCCAATTCCAGCTTCATGTGAGGAAGAACTTCTTTCCTGTGAGGGTGCCAGAGCCCTGGCACAGGCTGCCCAGGGAGGCTGTGGAGTCTCCTTCTCTGGGGATCTTCCAAACCCGCCTGGATGCCGCCCTGTGCCCCGTGTTCTGGGTGTCCCTGCTGGAGCAGAGGGTTGGACTGGATGATCTCTGGAGGTCCCTTGGAACCTCAACCATCCTGTGTGTGTATGTTAGTATGTACATTTTCTTGAGAGAGTTATCTGAGTTTTACGTGCCCAGCGCTTGGTGACAAAGGTGGCTCGGGGCCTTCAGCCAGTGCAGGAGACAGAGTCCCCCGCAGACATCGGGGAGGCCGCTGCTGGCAGCGGCATCAGCTGAACCCGGACGGCTGGTCCGGAGTCTTTTTGGGACTGTGCTAGACTGCTAGATAAGATGCAGCTACATCCTGTAGATCAAAGTGTTCTCTATTTTCGTTTTTTTTGCCTCCTCCCTTCCCTTCTGTGATCCTCTTCCCTCTTGCCCCATAAAAAAGTGTCTTCTCAATGGTTCCCTTCTGCCTTCTATACCAGCCAATTTGGAAACGTTTTGATTCTCCTAACACTCTCTGCTAGTGGCTGTCAGATAGGAAGAGTATGTTGGGTGGAAATGGAAAACTTAAAATCAAAAATAACTGTCTGTGGAGTTTTCCAAACTTTTCATTTCATTTTTTGGTTTAAATATAAAAGTGAGTCCTGGTTTTCTTCCTTCTGTAACTCAATTGACATTTTCTCCTATCTCACATGTTATGGTGCCGTCACGTATTTGTGTTCTGTTCTTTGGGCTCAAAATGTTTCCTAGTTGCTCTAGCAGGTGTGGTAGTGCTTGGGCTGAGGTTGTTCTCACACTGCTTTTCCTTGCTGCTATGGAATGATTACTGCTTTAGTGGATTAGAGGTTGCTCTATGTTTTTGTTGTTGTTTTCTGCATACTATTTTCTGCAGATAGGCTGTACCAAGTGCTAGGTTGTTTTCTGCAGGTCGGGTATCACGGTCGTATGACCGGCCGGGAGCCGTTCCAGAGCTCTGGGGGCAGCTCTCTACCTCGTGCATTCCTGAGGTTAATTTCTATTTAATATTTTGATGTCACTTGGAGGTTTGCTATATGCAAAAGTCTCTTTTGAGCAAAACTCCAATTTTGATTTCAAATGTGCAGATAAATAGATTGCCTTAATATTTCTGACTCTGTGTTTGCTACAGCAAAGACTTTCAGAAACTCTTGAAGGTAGAAGCTGTTGCAACCAGCAAAGCTGGCTAAGGATGACAAAGCAGAAGGCTTCCTCTCTTTCTGTTAGGAAGCTCGTTGGATTTAGGCAGTAGACTCTTTCTTAATCTAATTTGTGTAGAAATGTCATAAATTTCTTCCCTGGCAGACAGATAGTGTTCAAAAAGTTTAATAGATGATCTCCCATTCTGAGAAAGCCAGAAAAGCAGGGTACTGGCTGTGAGGTATCAGAAGCCACGTTCTTGCAGACCCAGAGGCATCCCAAGGACTTGGGCGTTGCTTTCTGCTCCGGAGCTGCTGCCCTCCTCCACCCCTTCCTCCTCCCCCGCCAAGTGAATCCTAGACGAAGGCAGCCCAAATCCTATCAGCACATTGGAGTGTGGCAAGCACTCCATATCAGCACATTGGAGTGTGGCAAGGCACCTTCAGGGCTGTGTCACCAAAATGTAATGCGCAGCTTTGCCTCTGTCCATGGGCGTCCTTATACATAACTGCTTTGGACATCTCTGGGGAAACGCAGCCCTTTCTTACCCAGATGACGGTTGTAGAAGAGGGAGTTTCTTGGAGCAGTGTCATTTTTGAGAAACCTGTGAAAAGCTCATTTGGGTAAAGCAATTATTTGAAATACAATTTTGTATTTTAAATGCCCGTAGAGCGTTCCCAGAGTCCTGCCTGCTCTCTCTGGTGCTTCAGAATCCAACTCTCAAAGCAGGAATGAAAATCTGTGCCTTGTTCCCCCAGAGCAGGCTGCTGAGGTCGCGAGCAGCGCTCATCTGTGCTCCTGCCCTGACCTTCCCCTGGCCAAACCTCCTGCCCTTGGCATTGCCAGGCTCCCAGGTGCTGCTGTCCCTGTGCTTCCCAGCTTGCAGGGAACCTCAGGGCTGAAGCGGCCCTGGCTCCGTAGCAGGCAGGAAGCATTTTCTCATGGGTGACCTAAAACTTGTTTTGTTGTTCTCCCTTACTCTTCTGTCTGTTAATTCAGTTGCAGCTTTCTTGGTGTAGGGCATTTATTTATACGCAGTGTTTGAGTAGCACCTACTCCATTACTAACTCTCTAGCCTCATCTCAATTTTGTAATGCAGTAAGTCTTTTCAGTAGATGGTAGGCAAAACTTAATCTCTTCTCACAGGAGAGAAATCTGATTACTTTTCCTGGGAGTCACATCTCAGAAGAATCTTTCTTTTTATATATATCTATGCCTCAGAAGTAACGAGGTCTGTTCAGGCATCGTCTTAGCCGTTGCCTTTGAACATCAAAGCTTCCCAATAATGTTAGGTCAACAAAAAATAGGCATTAAGTAGATGTTCTGATTTGACACAAACCTTGCAAATACGCCTCAAGCAAAAAACCACTGTATGTAGTTCCTGCCTTCAGGGTGATGGAAGGAGAATGGAAGGGGTTTGGTTGGTTGGTTTTATTTTGTTTTTGTGTAGGTGTATGGAGTTTTTAGTATCAGAAATTAGAGTATATGAGTTCCCAGCTATTTTAATAAAGTAATGAGAAATGCAGTGGGAAAACTGCAGCCATTAAAGCTGAATGGGAAACTTGACTTAAATCCTCACTTTGTGCAGCGCTGCGGAGCAGAGTGCGAGTGGTTCTGCCTCTCCTTCGGGCCAGGCGTGGCTGCAGGAAGGCCAAGCTCGCCAGCAACTGCCAGGGAGAGCTTCTTATCAAGCCCTTCGCATCTCAGCAGCCTGCAGCTGTTGCTGTGCTTGTGCCAGGCTTGGACAAACAACTTCCTACCTTCACTCATTAGGTTCTTAAGGCATTTCCTCTTAAGGAAACTGATTTTAGTACCTGTTCTCAACCCAGAGCTGGTTGATAAAAGACCTTTTCTCAGAAGGATTTTAAAACAAGTGGCTGTGAAGAAAAAAAATGCTTCAGAACAAAAGAAACTCAGTTCTTAGAGGTCTTTTGGAAAGTTTGACTTTTTATCTATTTCCAGCTGCATATTCTTGACTTCATTTGGATTGCCTGTAGTCTGTTAAATTGTCAAAGTACTGACCCTACCTGAGGAGACCAGCTGTAGCAGTGAGTGCTTGAGGATGATGTCTGTGCTAGGGCAGAATATACCAGCCCTGGCTCAAAGAGCAATTATTCTGGCCTGGTTTGTGTGCAGTGTCACCAAGGGAGAGAAAAACATCCAAAGCAATGTGGTAGACTTGTTTTCTTCCTCTCCTCGCTGACACCAACATCTCAGTCCTTTAGTCAGATTCGTGGGCTGTTCACGGAATCAAAACAGTATGGCAAGGAGAGTGGAGAACAAACAATAGCCTTTTTCGTTGTCAGCAGTTAGTGTGTAACATGGAGCTTCAAGAGGCTATAAAAAGTCCTACTAGATGACTTGATCGTTCTCTGGTTTAATAAAAAGCCTGGGAATTGGAGGCACTGCTTGCTGTAGAAGTGATTGCTTTGCAATGTGATGAACCTAGACCTCCTGGTGCACTTTTTTTCCAGAGGTGTATTGCTGACAGGTAATCCCCTCTGCAGGGTACTGAAGGGGAGAAGTTAGTGACTGAGACACCTTTGGTTAAAAGTTGATGGCCCGGTAGGTGCTAAATGAGTGGAAAAAATAGCCTTGACTTTCCCTTGGGGTAATTTGAGTGAGCATAAGACAGTGTATAAGAAAAATGTCAGATGGTGGTCTGGATGTATTCAAGAAAATGGTCATTTATTGCTCTGACATGAAGTATTTGCTGAGGGAATTAACCTGTGCAAGAGGGTGTGATGGTGGGAACTGCCTCTGTTTCTCTCTGCCGTGAATTGGCAGCCTTTTACTAAGTGAATGAAGGCTTGTTTTCCCTCTTGCTGATAAATCTCTCTGGTAAAAGCTGTTAATATTAGGGCAGAGTTGCTATGTTTCTCACAGTTGTGCTTGCTCACATGGCATGTGTTTCCCCTGTCCTGGACGTTAACTTTTAGTTCCTGACATTTCTTTTCCTTTGACAGAAGACTTCTGCAAGGCGCCCATTTTCCTGTGAGGTATCTGTGGAGAGTGATGTGATGCAGGATAGGGAAATTCATCTGTGCATTCTGAGAATGTCCGTTGTGAAATGGAGGTTTTGGCCCATATGGATCAGTTTTTCCTATTCTTGAAGTATTAGCAAACATCAAACTTCTAAGCCTTACTTGTACTGGGTGTATTCTGGTCTGGTGGAAGCCCTGCATTTTGCTTTCTGCGGTGATGGGCAAATTTAAGACATTTGTTCCTGGAGAATATAAAGTGTTGTTTTTATATATATATATATATATGTGTGTGTGTGTGTGTATATGTATATACATGTATATACATATACACACACACACACACTCTGTAGTACCCATCTGTATTAAATACTATTTGCGAGTTCATTATAGTGGTAGCTGTTATGAAGAGCAGGGGGTAATGAGGTAGTCTCAGATGTATGTGGCCTTGTTTAAGAAGGCAGACTGAAAGAAGTCTTTGAAGCTGAGGCCGGATTTTAGATAGGGAAAAAAATCTAGGTTTTGTGAAGAGGATGCAGAGATTGCTGTAAGTGTATTCACAGAATCCCACAATCCCAGAATGGTTAAGGTTGGAAGAGACCTCTAGAGATCACCTAGTCCAACCCCCCTGCTCCAGCAGGGACACCCAGAGCACGGGGCACAGGGCGGCATCCAGGCGGGTTGGGAAGATCTCCAGAGAAGGAGACTCCACAGCCTCCCTGGGCAGCCTGTGCCAGGGCTCTGGCACCCTCACAGGGAAGAAGTTCTTCCTCACATGCAGATGGAACTGCCTGGGTTTCAACTTGTACCATTTGCAAGTATTGTATTGCTGAAGGCGGAGCAACAGTGACTGCAGGAAGTTTCTTCTTCCTTTATTTTTTTTAAATTATTATTATTTTGTAACTAGGCTTGAGTGTGAAGGAGAGGGGAGAAGAAAAGAATACTGATGACTGAAGGACCTCTCAAATTCCTCCGTTGGTTTCAAACCCAAACCCCCATGAAGAGCATGCTTTTGTTTTCAGGCCTTTGGACAAGCTTGGGAGCACTCAAGACCTGACAAATATCTGCCCTCATTCTCCCCTTTGCTCAGTTGGTAGCAGGTCTGGCTGTCACTTGCTGGAGGGGAGCAGAGCTCAGTGTGCACGAGTCTGTGTGCAGGAGCTCCGCACGCCCCGAGGCCCTGCCGCCGCAGCGGCAGCACCGGGCTTTCAGGGGAGCTCTCTTTGTTTTCTTCTCCAAAATGATCCTCTTAAGTGACTTCCAGATTCTATTATTCTACTTGCTTTCCAATTTTCCTTTTTTCTTTTCTTTTTTTTCTTAATTCATAACCTTGTACTACTAAGATAATTTGACAGTGAATATTTTTTTTTAAAGTGTATTTTTGCTTACCTGGGCGGAAAGGCAAACTCTAGGTGATTTTTTTTTTTTAAAGCATTTTGTTAATGCTGCAGTTTGAACAGCTTTGATGTGAATGAGAGCTATGATTGGTGTATTGATTATTTTTTATTATTATTATTTTGTGTGTGTGTGCATGGAATCCTTGTGTGGAGATTGAGAGGTCAGCAGACTGTATTTGCATTAGCTGATGTATTATCATTATGAGGGTATCTATAATTATTTAAAGATTGCTTTAACTGTGAATTAATAAAACAACTGATATGTGTATAACAGTAATGTAACTCACGTGCCTGATTGTGAGTATACAGCTTGCTTTGCTATTTAGCAATACAGAGAAAATATGTGCTAAGGTAATGGGAGAGTGTGACCTGTTAAGTTCTTGCGTATTTACCAAATCTAGGGGAAAATACAACAAATTGTTTTATTTTTTTCAGTGGTATTTCTCATTTGCTAAATATTTCCGACATAACAGTGTTCCTGCTACATTCCTACGATGCATTAGTAACTTTGATCTTAATCTGTATAAGGCCTGTACAATTTTTTTCCACAGGTGGGAAATTCTTTGGTCTGAGGCACCCACAAAGGTGAACGGTCCCCAAGCTCGACAGTTCACACCTTGTATCAAACAGATAAACTTTCCCACCAACTTAATTCGCCTGGAAGTCAACAGTTCTCTCCTGGACTATTACACTGAATTAGATGCAGTAGTACTGCATGGTGTGAAAGAGAGGCCTGTGCTCTCCCTTAAGACTTCAATGATTGATATGAATGATATTGATGAGGATGAGGATGACGAGAAGTATGGCTGTGGAATGGACACTCTTAATAAGCAATTCAGCGTTGTTACCCTCAGGGAGTGGCCAACTAATGGATATTTTGATAAACTGCCTTATGAGGTAAGCAGGAAATATTTATACTGAACATAGTTCTCTTAAGCATTCAGAGTGCAAGGATGTTGTACAGAGCACTACTGATCAACACTTTTTCTCCAAGTGTAGAGTTCCTTGCAGTCTTTTGTGGGTCTTCTACATTGATTGTAGAGTTATATCTGAGTTGTTATAACTTGTTAATTTGTCTTCTTCCATGGATGGATGTCAAGAAGTCACTTGACTATTGATAATTCTTGCATTTCTGTTTTCTCAGTAGCCCATCCACTCCTAACTCGCTTCCCTCCTTCCCCCTCACCCCAATGCTCGTTGCTCTAGCCTCTAATTTCTAGCTTTTGAACTTAGATTTTTCTGGCAGTTTTACTGTAGTGTATGTTTGTATTCCTCATATGTGACAAAGATGAAAGATATACAAAATAGATGAGAAAAGATGGCATCGAAGTCTGGAGGTGTAATAGGCAAAATGTTTCTTTTTCCATTACCTCTCTTGCAAAGCCCTAGAACTTTTGTTCATGAAACCACTATGTAATTTTCATGTTGTTATAAAATTAGCTCCTATCCAGCTAAATCCACTGAATTCTGTCCACTGAAGCCCAGTACAAGCCAAAAAAGGCTATAGCTCTGCTCTCTGTACTGTTTTAGTGCCTTTGTAGTAATCATGGAATAAAACATAGCAGTAAATAGTTATGAACTATTGTTCTGTAGAGGAGTTACAAGCATGTTTAAAGGCAGTGTAGGTAAATATTCTCCTTGCTGTAGTTTCCAGGATAAAGAGGTGGGCTCAGCATGATTGCTGAATAGCGTGTGCAGAACTGGAGGTCTCTGAATGTCCCAGTTCTGCACCGGGCAGCGTTGAGCTCTGCTCTGTTACCTGTGAAAGGATTTGGTTGCACTTGTAGAAAGGAAAGAGACATGGCAAATGTAAACCCTTTGGAGGAGAATAGTGAGTGTCATCATCTTTTTCAGGTCTTTGAAGATCATCCTTTTTGTATTAGGACCCTCAGACTGCAACTATCAGTGTGTTCTAATGTTGGATCGGTATTGAGTGTATGTTGGCTCTTATCCCTATGGAGTTTGCTTTCCCTGTTCCTGCACTAGAATAGTAACTGAGGATACTGACTTCATCCAGAATTAACTCGCCCTCCCACCCACCCCAGAGTTGATATAGAAGTTGTATATGTTATTGTTGGTGCTTATATACCAATACTCAACTAAAAGAGTAGCATATGTGAGGGCACAGCTGTCCTCAAAATCTTAACAGTATAATTGTTTGCAAGCTCTACTTCCCGCCTTTTTTCTTTTTGTCTGCATATCCCTTGTTCTTTGAGTTTTAAGTTCTGTTTTTCAGATACCTGTGTTTATCTATATATATGTTTAAAGCTCCAGAATGTATGTTGTTTCCCATGGAAATGGGGGAAAGCACTTCTAATGGTTAATTTTTTTGGTCTGTCGTACCCTTTTTAGAGTAAGTGGTGTTAATGTTATACTTTTTTTTTCTCTTCAAAATTGCTTTGTAACCTTTTCTTACCTGATTTATATGAGAATGTGAAACAATGTTGGTTGCCATAATTTTTTTGAAATGAATAGTAACAGCAGGTTTTGCAAGCAACTGTGTGTCTTGAGATTACTTTTCAAAGCAGCTACTTGGTTCCTCTGCATTCATAGAATCATTAAAGTTTGCAGGGACCTCCAGAGGTCATCTAGTGCAACCCCCTCCTCCAGCAGGGACAACCAGAGCACAGGGCAGAGGGCTGTGTCCAAGCAGGTTTGGAAGATCTCCAGAGAAGGAGACTCCACAACCTCTCTGTCCCAGCCTGTTCCAGGGCTCTGTCATCCCCACTGTTAAGAATTTTTTCCTTAAGTTCCTGTGGAACATTTGGTGCTTCAGTTTGTGGCCGTTTCCTCTAGTCCTGTCACTGTCCACCACTGAAAAGAGGCCGCCCCCTCCTCCTCACTGCCTCCCTTGAGGTATTTATAGAAACTGATCAGGTCCCCCCTCAGCCTCCTCTTCTCCAGGCTGAACAGGCCCAGCTCTCTCAGCCTTTGCTCATAGGGCAGATGTTCCAGGCCTCTGATCATCCTGGTAGCCCTGCGCTGGACTCTCTCCAGCAGCTCCACATCCCTCTTGTACTGGGGAGCCCAGAACTGGACGCAGTACTCCAGATGTGTTCTCACCGCATCTGATGAGCCCTGGCCTCATCAGGGCTGTGTGTAGGGAGACAATCACCTCCCTCCACCTGCTGGAGACACTCTTGTTAATGCACCCCAGGATCTCATTGGCCTTCTTGGCCACCAGGGCACACTGCTGCCTCATGGTCATCTTGTCATCTACCATGACGCCCAGCTCCCTGTTTACAGAGTTGCTCTCCAGAAGGTCAGTCCCCAGCCTGTACTGGTGTCTGGGTTTATTCCTCCCCATGTGCAAGACCCTGTACTTTCCCTTGTTGAACTTCATGAGGTTTCTCGCCACCCAGTCGTCCAGTCTGTCCAGGTCCCTCTGGATGGCAGCACAGCCCTCAGGGCTACCAGCTACTCCTCCCAGTTTGGTATCCTCAGGAAACTTGCTGAGGGAGCACTCTGTCCCTTCGTCCAGATCATTGATGAATAAGTTGAACAGGACCGGATCGAGGAGTGACCCCTGGGGGACACCGCTAACTACAGACCTCCAGCTGGACTCCGCACCACTGATCAGCACCCTCTGAGCTCTGCCATGCAGCCAGTTCTCAATCCACCTCCCTGTCCACTCGTCTACCCCACACCTCGGGAGCTTGCCCAAGAGGATGCTGTGAGGGACAGTGTGTGAAAAGCCTTGCTGAAGCCCAGGTAGATGACATCCACCGCCCTCCCCTCATGTACCCAGCCAGGTAATCCAGCATAGAAGGTTATCAGGTTGGTTAAGCATGAATTTCCATGGGTCCATGCTTACTATTCCTGAGCACCGTCTTGTCCCCCATGTGCTTAGGGACAACAGCCAGGATGAGCTGGGAATCACAGCGGGCACCATGAAGCACAGTGCAGCGCCTCGTGTTGCGTTCTCACTGCGATATCCGATTGTACTTTATGCCAGGGTACACATGCATAAGAAGTAGGTATCTGACAGACACCAGTCTCCAGACTAGCAGTGATTAATGGTTATTAGCCTATAGATTTGGAACCTGTTATCTTTGTTTAATCAAAAGCAAGACAAAAGTACTTATATCTTCATGTCAGAGTAGTGACATTTCATTATATTTTTTCCTTCTAGGTATTACAGACTAGTGTAATTTTAGCAAAATAAAGAAGGATTATCTCAACTGATTAAGATTCATGTGGTAGGAGATTTCATCGCAGGTGGAGAAGAGCTGCAGCGTTCCGTAGGTTGTGGAACCTCCTTGAAGCCATCAGTTAGTGTGAAAGGACACTGGTGAGGCGTGTGGATTCATTCACCATTATCTCTGCTGCTCAGAAGTCGAAGCAGCTTTTCTCCCATTTAACAAAATTTGTGTTGCTTTGTTTTATCAGACCTATTATGCCATGTTAATTGTAGATATAAATTCAGCTAACTCTGCAGCCTTCACTACTGGACTGCTTACTCTAGAAATCTTAATAAATCAGCATTGGAAAAAAAAACTCAGAGGGGTTTAAAATTATTATTTAAAAATAGTTCTTTGGGTGGATTATGGCAAGTGGAATAGCAGAAAGATTGCAAAATAACTTGAAGCTGCCTTTCAGATCATTGAAAAGTTCTTTCAACTGAAGTGATGGTCTTAGCAAACCAGGTATCTGTTAGATATTTACTACTCAAATAGCAAACAGCTGTGGTAAGCAACTTATGCTAAAGCATATGTCTGAGCAATGCAAAAATCAAGATATTAACTTGATATTGAATCTATATTAGCTCTAATAGTTTGCTGCCCCTCAGATATCAAAAAGCCAACAGCCTAAGTGTCAGTTGGGAACAAGCTTTGATTGATGCCGTGTCTTTAAGTGCATTGCAGTTCGTCACTGCTGCGCTTAGATGTCTGCTCTGATCCTCAGCATGAAGCTGAGGGAGCAGTTCCAGAGCCCTGTGTCGGAGCAGCCTGTGCCCGTTCCTCCAGCAGGAAAAGCGAGAGCGAGGAGAAGAGAGGGAAGGCTCAAGTCGAGCTTGAGAAAAGCTGGAGTAATGCATGCATGTATTTTGACTTTGAATTTGAAGGTTTTTTTTGTAAATAAATCTTGTACATGTGTATAATGTCTCATATTTGAATGCTAAATCTGGAGCTGAGTAGTAACACTTTCCATTTTGCAGGAAACTGAACTGTTTTCTTGTTTCTTCTCTTCCAAAACTGACAGGAGAGGGGGACTTACTTTGTATAAAGTGTTACTTTGGAAGTACAGTTTGCTTTCGATCTCTTGAAAAGCTTCATTTTGATTTAACGTTGCAGGTTTTAGTCTTGGTTTTGACAGTTTTGTTGTGTGACTCCATACGAGAAATTAAAATGAATCACTGTGATACTCTGCAAGAGCCACGGGACGTTTTTCTTTTAATTTACACTGATTCATTTTGGGGAGTTACTGTTTCCCTCTCTGGCAGAAAGTGCTTAGTCAATTTTAATTACATCACTTAAGTGCCGGTGTTTATGGCTGCTAAAGGAAGCCTCGGTTAAGTCAGCCTTAATTTTTAGATTTCATTATTCAAGTGCATTTTCTTTCAGTCTCTAAATTGAGGGAGGTTCTGTGTTGAGGATTTTTTGTTATTTCCTAAAGCAAATGTTTATATTTTTTGAGTATTTGTTTCAGTTAATCTTTCTTTAAAAAGGAAATCAAAGCATGATAGGAAAAGGGGATATTTCCTCCTTTCTGCATGGGAAATAAGCTGTCACAGAAACAGTGCTGCCACTGGGAAGAGCTGGTGATTATTCTAAAAGTGGGATAAATCAATTTGATAACAAAATTTTGCATTTCAGATTTGACTCTGGCCTAGAACAAAGATGTGTTGCAGTGTACTTCTTAAAAGGAAATCTGTAAATGTTAAGCTTTTTATCTAGTCAGATAGTGCAGCTTGGAAGAGGGTATAAGGTAGAGCACAACACCATGATTTGGGAGAATCTGGACCATGGGGTGATTTTCACATCCTTGGCAAGAGTGTCACCAACTAAAACCCAAATCCAGAGAAGAAAGAGGGATGCCAGTTTTAGTCTTCCCACCAACAAATGTGCAGGTGTTGTGAAGGAAAATATGTAAACACAGTGTTTACATGCATATTGCTGTTTAAATTAGCATGGTAAAGGAACTTCTAATTTGAAAGCTTGCTGTCACTTCCACATGTTGATCGGCTTTTCCTTTCTTGTTTGCTATGCTGTCCAACTGAGGAGACAGTGCAATCCTATTTAATAGTTGATCAATGATTTGGGAAGTTACTTTTAAGCAAAAGGATTTACTTTTCTTTGAAATCAGAACATCTTTTCTTCCTTCTTTGCACTTTTCCCTTAACATTTCAAGTGTTGTATGATTGTTTTTGACTTTTTTCTTTTTTTTTTTTTTTGTATTTTGATATAGCTCATCCAGTTGATTCTGAGTCACCTCACGGTACCAGACCTGTGTAGACTAGCACAAACTTGCAAGCTCCTCTATCAACATTGCTGTGACCCGCTCCAGTACATTCATCTCAGTTTACAACCTTACTGGGCGAGGATTAACGACGCCTCTCTGGAATACCTGCAGTCCCGCTGCACTCTCATCCAGTGGCTGAATTTGTCTTGGACTGGAAACAGGGGAGCCATCTCTGTTTCTGGATTTAGCAGGTCAGTGCTAAATGTACAGAAGTATCTGGGTGAGCTCTGTGTAGAGTGACTGCTCAGTAGCTTGTTGCTGAAATCTAGTAAGTGCCTGAAATCTAATAAGATGTAAAAAATATTTCTTTGATTTGCCATAAAGCATGTGATCTTTACAATGTAGGGGGAAAAAAAAACATCTAAAAGAGGTACTAGATACAGCAGCAGTCTGTTTAAATGTATAGAATCTGCATGTGCCAAGTTGCCTGTGGCTGAAAGGCTTCTTGCAGGGGAAGCAGCATTTTGCTCTTCTGAGACTCCGAAAGACTCCAGCTGGAGCTGAGCTATTGAAAATCCATCTTGCAAGGAAAACATTGGAGAGTTGTCCTGTGTATAGAGGACTTGCCAATCGGGCTGTACTAGAATGGCTGCAGTAATAAACTGATTACAGTGCGAGCTTCTAACCTGCAGGCTCCAAGTAATCACTGGGATGCAATGTAAATGCAAATATTTCCATAAAAAGGATTTAAAACAGGTTGTGCTGTTGGGAAGCAAGGGGCTGCATGTGCATCTTCACATTGAGATGAAAATATGACTATGCTGTAGGTCATTAAAACTGCAAATTTATAGGGGTTCTTCCCTGTCCAATGGGCATATTCTCTGTGTGCTTAATGTGTTATTTGTTGCTGCTTTGCTCATTAGCATTAGTTAAACAGCTCCTATTGATGCATTTCAGTTAAAAACTGGGGCTTCAACTAGGAAATAACCAGCAGTGGCAACTGCGAGCTGAACCTGACAGATAAGAAAGAGATGCGTAATCTAATGTATCGTAAAAAGAAAGGAGTTGTCTTAAACTTCCTTCATTGCCTGAATGAAAAGGTTAAAAAGTACTCTGGGGAAGTAAATTAACTTGAGGGAATGCTCTGTTAGGATGAGAATGCTTCTGTTTTTTTCCCTCTTTTTCCTGACCTTTCAGTATTGTCTAAGAGCCCTCTGCTCTTTCACTTATTCTTTTTTAAAAACAAAAATAGATATGATGTAGTGGAATGAAATATAAAACTTTCTGTGAAGTTTGAATTTTTAGATAATTATGCTGAAAATGAATTTTAAATTCAAACTTGCATATGTAACTCTGAAATCGTTTAAGCCTTTGCTTTCTGATACTTAACTGTTAATGGTTTTTGAAGACTTGAAGTTTGCACATGTTCATTTGAATATTCACATTTTCATGTTTTCTGAACCTGTGGTACTGCTAAAAACCTTGTCTTTAAATAAATGGCAAAGTACAGAGGAACTCTGCAGTTCTTGATTTTCTGACTTATGGTTAGTTTAAAGCATCCCTATGGCTGATTATTATTTTTTGAACTTCATTAGTGTGTTGTTATCAGTTATTTGTGATCGGTACTTCTAAAAGAATTAATATTCATAGCTTGATTATTATTAATAAACAATAAACATGCTCAACTTGGATTTTTTCAGAATTCTCAGTTTTGAATGTAAATCTGACCCCTATAAGGGATCCTGTCCATCTCTTTGAAAATTTTCGTTTACCTTATGTGGAAGTGACTTTGAAATTCGTTCTGTAGAAGTGTCTTTATGTTTATAAAACCAGAAAAAAGGTAAAATTTCCAAACACAAATTTTCCTTCTTTTGATATTCTTCGTCAATGTGTTTGGCAAGTTTTTGGCCTCCAGAAGTGAAAATGTGTTCTTATTTGCTCTTTAAATATCTGTTAATGCAGATAGATGAGGCCAACTCTTTTCTCTCAAATGCATTTACATAACTTTCTCCAGGAAAATGACTTCCAGGTAAGAGATACTGTTCCACAGAAGGAGAAATCTGTCAATGTGTTGCTTTTAATGTTGCCAGCTATCATCTAGGTACTACTATTAAGTGGATATTAGAACATCTGGGACATGGAGTCCTGTAGTCCTGCGGGTCCTTTGGGACTTGCAGACATTTCTAATGTGGACTATTTTGAGTCTTAATAAGCCAAACAGTTTCTAAAGAATGGAGGTACTTTGTCTTTCTTAGAAATTGTGCTTTACTCTTAAAATTCTGCCGTTTACTTCTCAGAATATGAGTATTTCTGAAGAGGGTGGTCAGTTAGCAAGGCAGACTGCACTGCTGCTTTTATCAGAGATCTGTTGGGACTGGTTTATTAATGGAAGGTGGCCGGATCTTCAGATTGCGCGGGACCATTGTGGCAAAACAGGGTTTGGACGAGGCTGCCTGTATCCATAGGTAACTATAACACGGACATGCCACTACATTTGCCACTATAAAATCTTCTTTTGTTGCCTACTGCTTGAGTCTTTTTGATTCCATTTGAATTCTCCCCAGTCTCGCTAATAATTATGCATTCCAGTCATGGTTGAATTTCAGAGGAAGTGTCTAAAGCAGCGAGGCGTTCCTATAGAGCACCAACCAGTGCCTTTTATTTTGGGTTTAGCTGATGAAAAAACTTTCTTGCAACTTCAAACTGAGTTGAAACTAGTGTAATTTGCTTGTTCTGATACTTGTAGTTTATCAACTTCAAGTTAAGTTGCTGTGTAAAGAACCGTGGAGGGCTTATCAGCCCAGGGAAGTGCTGAGAATCCGGTCTGGGAGCTGTGAGAATTTAGTGGACTTGACAGTTTGAGAGGAGAGGGGAAAAAAGGGTCATTTTTAAATGAACATTGAAATAATTTCATAGACACAAGAAGTTGCTTCAGTATAAAACCAATAAAATACTCCAGGTGCGGCCTCCCCAGTGCTGAGTAGAGGGCCAGGATCCCCTCCCTTGACCTGCTGGCAACACTCCTCCTGATGCAGCCAGGATCCCATTGGCCTTCTTGGCCACGAGGGCACACTGCTCACTCATGGTTAACTTGGTGACAACCAGGACTCCCAGCTCCCTCTCTGTGACCAGCAGGTCCACCCCTAATCTGTCCTGGTGCCTGGGGTTATTCCTCCCCAGGTGCAGGACCCTGCACTTGTCCTTGTTGAACCCCATGAGGTTCCTCTCTGCCCAGCTCTCCAGCCTGTCCAGGTCCCTCTGGATGGCAGCACAGCCCTCTGGAGTGGCGGAGGGTATCATCTGGTATCCCAGATGATGACCCATACCAGATGATACCACCCAGCTTGGGATCATCTGCAAACTTGCTCAGGGTGCACTCAGTGCCCTCGTCCAAGTCGCTGATGAACAAATTGAACAGCACTGGGCCCAGTACTGACCCTGGGGGACACCACTGGCCACAGGCCTCCAAATGGACTCGCCCCCTTTTATCACCACCAAACTCAGTAGAGTTATTTTCAGTCTCACAGCTGTACTGCTTAGGTTCTGATCTCTAAGGATGCTTGTTTAAATGCTACTCTTTCTAGAATTTTATTTTGGAGAACGTACTTCAAAATGCTTTTATCTAGTTCCTGATGACATTAGCCTTAGAAGTTAACTTGTTATCAGCTTGTTTGTTACTCTGAAAGGTTCATATAGACATGATTTTAAGAAAGAAATGAAAGCATATATGTTCTTGGAAAAATATGCATTTAAATGGTAGATTAAAAAATAGAAATATGACTAAAGCAAATGCTGTATTATCATGAGAAGGTGGAATGCTTCAGGCATATGAACATCCTGAGGCAAAGCTGAAGGTGTTTTCACTTATTGATAACATCTACTCCTTTAGGCTAAAATGACTAATATAAAATTTTCATTTCAGCATATAATGAAAAAGAATTAACCTTTATAATTTAGATTGAACTGGAAGTATCCTGAAAAGTGAAAGACAAGCAAAGTGAGTATTTGAGTGGTCTCAAGCGTGTGGAATGAAAGGTGCCAGGGAATAAACAAAAGATTGCACAGAAGGCGTTACTCAAATGGAGCTGCTCTGTGGCCTTGGAGGTCTGCTGGATTTCTTCATGCAATGGGAATAACGGCGTGGGAGGATAGGAAAGTGAGGCCAGTTGATTGGAGGTGGGCAAAATACCGGGATTCTGGATAAAGACTGTGAAGTTGGAAGAGCTAAAGGATGCTGACAGCTAGAAAACGGAGTTGTCCATACAGATTTCTTTATATCACTGATGTTATTAAGCCTGTTTTAAACTTTTGCAGTAAACACCTGAGATAGTAGGTTCATGTTTTGTAGTATGAAAACTAATAGAATTTCACTTTCAGGTTAGTGATGCAGTGCTTACATTTGAAGCATGTAAGGGCATCACGCAATCATAGAATATTTCCTTAACAATTCTGTCATTGGAAGGTTTTTGTTGTTGTCAGAGGTGGGTTTTGACAATGTTTAACTTAGTGGACATTTTGAATGAAATCTATTGAGAGTTTGCTATAAATGAAGCCAGTAAAAGGGTCAGAGAAGTTAAGACATGCATCAAATGTTCAGTCACAGGAAGTATTAGTGTAGTAACTTGAAAAGGGTTCTCATTTTAAAGATAACTTCTGCCTCTTGATTTTAGTAAAACCTAGGGGTCCTGTAAATGAAGGGAAGATCAGATGATATATTTTTGCTTGTTTGTGCTGGAATTTCTTAATCTGTATTCAGAAAATGAGAAGATGAGATACTTGGTTAGTTTCCCTATTTGCAAGTAGTGTTGTCAGATTCATTGGCAAAGAAAGCCTAATACCTGATGGAGTTAGGAAATAACGTGGCAACGTTATTAGACAAGCAGCAGTTAGGCAAGCTTGGAGGAGGGGAAGATGATGGCTTTTTGACAATTCTAGATTGTGATCTAGAATTAGTCAAGTTTCCTTAGTTAAGGTAAGGAAAGTGGTGGAATTCTGTTAAAAGCTACTGAATCTGGTTCATTGTGTTCTGTGCTGCTTTAAGCAGATGTCTAAAAGTATTCCGAGAATATTTCAGAAGAGGTTCCATCCACCTAGTTTTGACATGGAAGATCCCTTCCTTTGTACCTTGATGTTTTTGCTTCAGATCTTTGTCTTGTGGGATGTGCTTGCAATACAGACAGTAACTATGAGACTGGGAAATACTAATTGACTAGTGATGACCCAGTGATCATGAGTGATTTGACTTCAGTATCAATAGGAGTTTGAGTGTCTGATCTGTTAATGGGTATACATGATTTCCAGAAGGACTAAATTATTTCCAAAAGCTGAGGAGAAAAAATGAACATCAGTTTGTGAGAGGACAGAAGTAAGCAGAAAGAGGAATGCTTTGGGGGATTCTTTTTTGTTTGTTTGTTTAAAATTACAGTACTATAGTGTAGAGTGAGAGTGAGCTCAGGTAAATGCCCGTTCTGGCACCTAGCAAAACGACCAGCCAGAAACATCAATGCTCAGCTCCTCTGAGATTGTATCAGAGATACAGAGATCAGGTCAATTGTATCTCATAGCAGAAATACAAAGGGATAAAGGGAAATCACTTAAAAATGCATATTATTAAAGAAGTAATAAAAGCAAAATCAGAGTGATGGAGGACTGTGCAAAAAGGAGAAACTATAAAAAGGAGTCAGATAGGCCTAGCTTTTGTGATTGTATGTTTTAAAATATCCCAAGTTAGAGCCAAGTGTCTGGTAGCATGGAGGCAACTCCATGTTTGCTCCAAAACCATGAGGACACCTATGCTACCCCGGCACATGGCTTTGGAAATCTCCATAGAAAGGAATTGGCAAAAACATCTCTTCTGAGAAGCCTCTAAAATGCAAGCAGCGGTGATGGATGTCTTGATGAATGGCAGAACTCTGCGCTTCTGCCTCATGGGCTCTGCCCTGTTGTGGCTGGTGGCTTCCTCACGCCACCAAGGGTGACTGCCCATTTCTTTGCTTTGAGCCTGTTTAATTCATGCTTGTACACTGCTATGTGAGCCTTATCCCACTTCCCTTTCTCCTTAATGTCTCCTAAATAACCTCTTCCAAAAAGGGAGAAAAGCTGTGAAGAATAAATGCAGTCCCCATTGCTGTTGCCAATTGCTCTGCCTGTATGTTTTGTGTAGTGAATTTGAATAAAAAGTTATAATGGTAATAACTCCTTAGATTGGTGAGCCTGGAGTTCTTCTCCAATCCAGGTGTTTAACCGAGTTTTTCTTTGATCTGATAGTACTAAACTTTGGTAGGCCTAGAATGAGAAAAGTGTTTATGTATGCCAATATTTATAATGGCCAAGCCCTGTTAAATTATATGGTAGTTAATCTAACTCCCATTATTGTAATGGAAGAGTTCATAAAATATTTATCCATTAGCAAATTAAACGCTAGAGGTATAATAAATGGCAACTCACATCGCGTTATGGAAAATATCACCACTCAAACAAGCCTGATAATAATTTGTTGATGAAATAAGCTGTATGAACATGAGGGTCAGTGTTGTTAAGGCACTCGTTAAATAGAGGAATTGGCTAACTGGTAGCTGTCAATGAGTCTGTATGTCTCTGCTAAGCTTTCCAGACGATTTATCTCCTGTGTTTCTTTGACAATATTGTATTAGTTTTAACATTCTAATCTTCAGATACCCAACATTAATTCTTCCCCAAATGCAGGACCCTGCACTTGTCCTTGTTGAACCTCATGAGGTTCTTCTTTGTCCAGCTCTCCAGCCTGTCCAGGTCCCTCTGGATGGCAGCACAGCCCTCCGGAGTGTCGGCCACTCCACCCAGCTCGGTATTGTCTGCAGACTTGCTCAGGGTGCCCTCAGTGCCCTCGTCCAGGTCACTGATGAACAAATTGAACAGCACTGGCCCCAGTACCGACCCCTGGGGACACCACTGGCCACAGGCCTCCAACTGGACTCGGCACCAAAATCAAGATTCCATCCTAAAATCTCCATGTCCCTCCCTTTATTAGTATAGGAGCCATATAACAGAAGTAAGACTTAGCATGGTGGGTACTGTGCAGGACAGAAGGAATAAAGCAAGGTGACAATGAATGGCAAGTAATGACATGGCAGAATAGTTAGGTTTGGAAGGGGCTTGTGAAGGGACATGTGAACATGCCCCTCTGCTCTGGCATGTGAGCGGGCTGCCCGAGACAGTGTCCAGTCCTGCTGTGAGTATCTGGGCGAGTCTGGCAAGCTTGCAGGGTTTTAGTAAGAGATTAGTTTAGGTGTAACAGAGCTTGAAGTTCAAACACTGGTTCTCTTACAGCTGTAAGAGATCTGTACAACTCTAACCTGTAAGTCATGTACAGACCATCTGAGTTTCTATGTATTTGTATTTTTGGAACTTAATTTAAGCTTCAAATAAAAAGCTTCTATAAAACAGTTTCTTTATAAATATTTGTTTTGTAAAACAGCTAGGAAGTATTGATTTGACTTTTTAGCAGAAGGAATTCAGTTTTTTTTCTGAAAGCTTTTAAAATCCTTTTTTTCTTTTTTTGAATATTTGTATAAAAAAAATGTTAACTTCACTTTTCCTCAAAGACACAAAAAGAGGGAATGTTGGTGGAAAGTTGCAGGTAGCTGTCAATGTGGCCTTGGGACCATTCTAAGAGTGTTGTCAAACATACTCTGGTGCATTTTGCTACACTGGTTCACAGTAAATGGCTAGAAAATGTTTTAACTTGCTAAACCTAAAGTGAAGCTTTCAAGGCTGATGTTAATTTAATTTGGTCTTTTCAAGATTTGTGAAGATTTGATTCACAATTCATTTTGTCAGAGTGGTTATGGTCTATTTATTTTGACCTAATCATATGTTCTGTTAGTCAAGGAGAGGACATAAGAGCTGTGCTTTGTAGCTCTTTCATTGCTGAAACTATTTCCTACGTCGCATGTGTGAAGTTTTGATAGTATTTGAAGATTCTCACTGTAAAGTAGATATATTTTTCACCTCAGTTTGCTTTTTTACAGGTTCTTGAAAGTTTGTGGCTCTGAGCTTGTGCGCCTTGAGTTGTCCTGTGGTCATTTCCTCAATGAGACGTGTTTGGAGGTCATTACTGAACTCTGTCCAAATCTTCAGGAGCTGAATCTTTCCTCATGCGATAAGATACCACCTCAGGCTTTCAACCACATAGCCAAAGTGGGCAGCCTTAAGCGTCTCATTCTTTACCGAACGAAAGTGGAGGTAGGAGCAACTTTTTAACCTTTGCAATAAGTATGTTTAATCTTGGTAAAACTGTAATTGTGACGATGCTACAGGCTTTTTTATTTTCAAAGTGGTTTGTGTATTCAGAAAAAGAAAAAGGAAGAAAATACTGCAAGTAGTGTGCAGGATTGAAGACTTTCCACCGACTATTTTAAGCTCTGTAGTGAAATCATAAATGTGAAAGCTTTTCTCTTTTAAAGTACACTCCAGACAGACTGTATTTGGTAATATAATTGGGAAATCATTATGTTTAGTAACTTACTGTTAATTATCAGCACTTTCTCTGGAACAACTTGCAGATTGCTGGATTCCTACTGTCATTGTATATTAGCAGTGTTTGAACCAAACTTCTTAGTATATTTTTCAAGAACAGTGTACAAATGACTTTGCAGAATTATTCAGCTACCTGGATACAGGTTAATGTTTTTTGCAGGATACTTCCTATCTAAGGTAAAATCTTGTACATATTACGTTCAGTAAGGCTGTTATTGTTTATTACACTTTGAGTGTTTTATCTTAGTTTACTTAGCTATTTGAATTGGAAACTGTCCTACTATTTTTCTCTATTTAACTTACTCTTGTATTACAGCCTTACTACTGTGCTTCCTGTGGAAGCTTACATACGATCTGGTCTTCTCCTGTTGCAAACGCTGCCAAAATAGGCAAATCCTGTTTCTACAATTCAGGTTCTAGGTTAAAAATGTGATGGTGGAAATCTTAGTGTAAGTTTGCTCTGTGTTTTGCTTCCCTGAGTTCTCATAAAAACACACAGAAAGGGGCACTTGCAACCCCTCTGTTGCTTCCATGGTCTCTTGGTGGATATCATCCATGGCCAGCATTCTAAGCCCTAATACCTTTGGGCACAGTTAAGCAGTAGTTTAACAGTAAAACCAGCTCTTCTCAGATAAAAACTCTTTATGAAGCTATTAAGAAAGCAAGAGGAAGATAGAGATTTTAAGCAAGTTACTTATGTTTATTACTTTTGCTGATGTTTTTGGTGTGAAAAACAAAGTTACAACACTGGATTGTGTGGGTTGTTAAGCTGTGGTGTAGTGGAAGAAGCAAAGCTGAAATAGTAGGTTGTGGTGTCTTCAAAATATCTGAGACCTGAAATTAGAGTAAACTTTTTGTTTATAAGCAGTTCACACCTAACACGGTACAGAGTTACAAAGTGATTTTGATATCCTTTTTTCAGTAAACTGTATAGGCTTTTGTGTTGAAGGGCTAGCAGTCTGTGAGATCTGATGTAAGGCAGCTGGGTGAAAGGGTTGTCTACCTGAATTTCCAACCCTTATTGTGGGATGTGCGGCAAGTTACCACCCCTCAACAGCTTGTGACTTTGTGGCAGTTGCTCCGTGCATCAAAATCTTGTGTAGGTACCTCAGGGTTTGTGTGTTTACCTCAGGGAAACCATGTGTGGAGCCCTGCTTTTGAAGCGCCCTTGGGTTGGCGCTGCGGAGCGGCTGCGCCGTGAGCTGGGTCGTCAGGATGTGTCCCAAGTAAATCTCTTATCCCGCTTCGCCTCGGCGCGGGCCCTGGAGCAGGGATAACTCACAAGGCTTTGTCAGATCTGAGAAGGATCACTGTACCAGGGACAAATTGTGTGGAGTTACCTGTTTCTGCTGTCGCTTGGCTATAATTTTATTGATTCTACTGGGTTAACTTTGAAAGATTGAGATGCTAAGTTTACAATTGTGCAGTGGTCAACAACTACTCTGAAAGTGGTTGCGTGTCACTTGTCAGAAATGGCTTTGAACGTGCTGAGGTAAGGTGCAGTGTGATATCTGCTGATTTAGAAGCCTTTAGGTTGTGAAGATAAACTTTGTCTTCCTTGTGTAAAGGTGTGTATCTCCTTGTAGCTGAAAAGACTTTTAATAATAAGATTTAGGGTCATGCTTTTTTTTTTACTCAAAAAGATAAACCTAAGGTATGTTTCTAACATAATTTAAAGTTCTAACATAAATTAAGGATAATTAACTTCTAGAAATTCCCCTAAGCAGATTTAATACTTGCTTGTTCTATTGAAGCCATTTACCAACCTGTCACAGCATATAAGTGAAAAAATAGAAGGGAAAGAGTAAAGATGAGAGTATAGCATAGGATTTGAGTTAGAGAATTGGAATTAAGTCACAGATTTATTAAAAAAAAAAAAAAAAAAAAAAGTCAGTCTCACCAGTAGCTTCCTTGAATAGGAATCTTCATTTTTATATACAAAATTAGTTGCCTGCCCTTCAGTGTTTCTTAACTTGGCCTGAGATCTTGGGCCTGAGATCAGGGCTACATGTGAAAAAGAGATGGCTCAGTCACCATCTGGAGGGGCTTAGATTTAAACTTTTCAAGGATTGAAACAGAGCAGCGTTCTTTTAATGAAAAACCCCTCATGTTGCTGCTTCATTCTTGGAGCTTCTGTGGAGCAAAGAGTGGTAATGTTTAATATATAGTTTGACGTTTCTTTTTCTGTCATTTCTAGGATGGAAAAGGAAGGGACCCTGTCACAGTAATAAGTTTGCTGTGATTTCTTACGACAGAAAAGGATATCCTACCAGTTTATCTGATGTTAATCTTCTTGATGAAATATTTGGGTACTTCTGGTATTACTGCAGATTTTCAGGAAATTGTCAAAATGTAAGGAGTGTGAAGATGGAGAGAAAGAGTAGATAACAGGTTGGCTAAAATGAGTTGTCCATAAGAAATCATAATTAGAGATAGTCACTGAAATTAAAGCATAGCATGATTAGATCAATCGAGGCAGAGAGTGTGCTTCTTGTGTTTGTAAATAGTATGAAGAATTTATTGTCATGGGCAATCAACTTAAGTTGAATTATTTAGTGGAAGTGAGGGGATTTCTTTTCAGTGGCAGAACAAAAGAAGCACTACAGGAAAAAAATAAAGAAGACTAGAAGTTCAAGGCATAGCTGACTCCTAAAAAGAGATCCTCTTTCTGCATATGTTATTTGTGACATAAGTTAAAAGTCATTTTTTTCCTACTCCAGTTATTGGTATCTGACAGCGCAGGGCCGTTAGCCCTTCTGAGCAAACAGTGCAGCTCATCAACTCCCTTGGTTGTGAGCCTGGCCCCTATTTAAGTAGCATAAGATACGGAGAAAGAGATTGTCTGTCCTTGTTATCGGTGTGTTGATGGAGTTGTTTGTTCTTCTCGCCTTATGTTTTATAAAGAATATCATTAATTTTTTATTAAAAGAAATGCTATTTTGATTAAATAAAAGCAAACTGCAAGGTACCTGCACAGGTGGAGGGTGTCCTTATTCAGGGAAGGGAAAGGAGGGAGAGAGGAGGTGAATGGGAGGAAAAAGGAAGAAGAAAAGGTTGCATTTCACACTGAAATTTTTGGGTGTTGGGCTGCCCTGGTTAAATGACTATTGTGCTGCTAATATGTACATTCTGAGAAAATACTCTGCGGAAAACTGATGATTGCTTTTAGTGAAAGCAGGAACTTTATTGCATAATATGTTGTCAGTTTTATTATCGGAGCCAGTTCCTGTGACAGTTACTTGGTATTTTAGCCATTTTAACCGCTTTGCGTTTCAAAGTATATTCCCACTGTCTCTGTAACCTAAACTCCAATTTCGAAGTAAATGTTTTCAGTGAAATGGCTAATTCTGGGATTCTGTCCCAGCTCTGGCACTGAAGGCCCCAAGTTAATATTCTGGGAGATGGCTGTACTATCTAGGAGAGTTAGTGATCCCAAGTCCTCATCCTGCTGGTACTTAATAACTTTCACAAGATCAGTTTTGAGCTCCTACAAAGTGAAGCTTCTGACACCTTAAAGTATCCTGACCTCCTCGTTACAGTAAGGAATGTGCAGTGAATTTCATTAACTTGTTCCAGGCCAAACAAGAAAAAAGATTGTCTAGCATCATTGTGCTCTTCCTCGCTAAATGCAGTTAATGTTTTCAGTGCCTTAAGTTCATTATTAAAAGTTTCATTCTTAAAGGCTGTAATAATCCATATGAGCTTGAAATATTTTTAATGTGCTTTGAGAAACTAATCCCAACATTTTTTTTAGTGTAATTTCCTCTACCTTGAGACCACCATTATACTTGATGGGGGAGGTTTATGCTGGTGGTTTTGGTATTTACTGTTACATGACCTCTCAATGTTTATTCATTGAAAGCATATGCACAGCATAATTTAAGCACTTTTTGGCATTGATACCTTTGAAGAGCACATTGAACAGTGGGTACTGTTATATGCTGCAATTGGCAATGCCTGTCTTTATGGCTTGGGTATGAAAGTTATCTCCATTTAATGCTTATCATGAAGATCTGTATGGAAATTGCGGCCAAAACTAAACACCCCAAATCCCCGGTTAAACTTGAAAAACTCGTCTCCCTATTGCTGATTGTAAATTTTAATGGAGGATTTCATATTTCATCTTGTATATTCTAAACTCTTTGTAATATGTGAAGGAAGAATTTTTAAAGTTTGTAATGCAAATACAATTGCAATACAGAATGAACCAAATTAAAATTTGCACCACGGTGATCCCAGAACTGCCTTTTTTTCCCCTTGCAACATTTAAAGTAAGGGTTATATTTAAAGCCATGTCACTGATGCCTCTAACAAAGAGCGAATTCTAAATTCAGGCAGCTGTAGGAGAGGATGTTGAAACCTGTAGTTACCGGGAGGAGACATGAGATTCTTGGAAATGAACGTAACAGCGCTTGTTTTCTTAAATAATGAAAAATAAAAGCATTAATATTGCCATTAAATTATTCCACACTGTTTCCAGACGCTTGTTATGTACTTGTTATGGGGCACGTTTTGCTTCTGAGAGCTATCTCAGGTTTTTCGCTTTGGACAAAACTTCATTGGCTTGTGCTCAAATCATGAAGACTGAGTTGCAGCAAGAAGTAAAAAACAGTGAAAACCTCTAACTAGAGAGCACTTGTCCCTGGAGACAAGTTGATCCGGTGGCAAATGAAGTGACCATTGGATGCAGGGACCCTCACTCACTC